AGCCGGTGGGAGGGGAATGATGATGATAATAATAATAATAATAATAATAATAATAATAAATATTAGTCCGGGCGTTTGATACGGTGCCTTGATCATGTCGTCAAGACGTCTCAAAGTGCTCCGCACGATTCACTGTGAAGCGGAGTGACTGTATTTTGTGGGCGAAATGCGGCGTAACCGGCTCATTAATTGGAGCAAAGTATAAAATGTGTGTGTCTATATATTATATATGTATATGTACATATATATGTAATTGTTTTACAATTGATTGCTCGCTCCATGGGCGCGCGTTTGTGGGACGTTGAAGTGCGCGAACCGGTTGCCGTGTTTCTGCCCATCTCTCCTGTGAAGCGCCTTCAGACGTCTCCACGGTGCGAATTTTAAGCGCGTGAGCGGCTGCGTATCGAACGCAAAGGGTTGTTACTGTTCCACCGGGGTGCGGGGGTTAGAGTTGTGTTCGTGGTGGTGGTGGCGGCGGCGGTGGTTTGGGGGTGGGTGGGGTGGGGTGGGGTGGGGTGGGGGGTGCGTGTGGCGGTTACGGTTACGCGATGTCCGTGCTGGCGACGGGACAGAGTGCAGAGTTGTCGATCCGGCGCTGGGTGTCGGATGCGGTTTGTGCGGCTCTTGTCGTCCTCCGGCTCAAGGTTTGGCGAGACATTGGCTCTCCTGCCCGGGCTCCCGTCAGGCGCCTCCTCACCGCGAGCCGTCTCCGCCACTGGAACCCCCCCCCGGTCCACGCTTCCGGCGCTCGGCCTCGCCAACTGCCCGCTCCCTGGACTTTCCCAACTCCTCCCTCCGCGAGCCGCGGGCTCGTCAGCACTCTGCAGCGCGTGCCCTCTCCCGCACCGGGCTCCGCGAGCCCATCGCGCCCGCTCTGGCCCGGCTCCTTTGGCCCCCCCCGTCCCTCGGGGAATCAGAGATAACTAAACGCTCGGTCTCACCTTCAGAGCCCTCCAGAGTCCTGCTCCCCCCCCACCCCCCCCACCCGCCGCCCCCCCACTACCTCTCCGGCCCCAGGTCAGCCTGTCCGCTCCCTCTGCTCGGTCTCGACACACGCGCACACACACGCGGACACACGCGCACGCACAGACGTTTGTACTCTCTTCCAAACTTATTCACTTTTAAGTCTCGCACACGATTCCCTTCTCGAAGCTGAATGATTGACCCCAACGTCGAGACCTCATTTGGGCTTTTCAAGCCTCAATATGGCTGTGTGTGACGTGCGATCATTTCCTGCTTCTCCGTTGAGAAAATGGCCCGTTCTGTTGTGTGTGTGTTCGCGGGACTTGTTGGGAGAACTAAACATCCCGGGACTCCATCCATTATTTAAGACTAACCTAAGAGGTGTACGAGTGCATTTGAAGGAACTTGGCAAAGTAATTTGAAGACGTTGGAGGTGTTCGGTCGCGATAAATCAATTCCCTTTCGATTTTAAGATTGAACCTCTATCGGGAGATCATCCCTCGGCCCGACTGACGTCAGCCCTTAATGGGAGCAGTTTAGAGGCACGTAGTTTCACTCTCAATTCGTGATCTATTCTTTTGCTTTCTTCCCCGAAAGTTGAGACTGTCGACGGTGACTGTAAATGATCTGGAAATGCGCACAAGGCAGGTTTTACGGAAACGTTTCGGAGCGTGGGATGAGGACTGCGGGCTAAGGAGGTGCATTTCTGGCTTGTGCAGACCTGCCCCGCGGATCTGGAAGCTGCTGTTGGAGATTTTCCAATGTCTAATAATAATAATAATAATAATCCCTGCGTTTGACAGAGCTGCGTTGACACGTTCGAAGCGCTTCACGGAATATACCGTAAAGCGGATTGACTGTGTATTTTGTGGGCAGCCAATTGCGCGCAGCGGCGTCTCCCACGAACAGTCGTGGATTGAGTCACCAAACTATTACTTTTTTTTTTTTAGGGGAGAGATTGTTATCCCCGGAGAGCGCTCTGCCAATCGAACTAACGACCGCCGGGGTTGGCACTTCCTGCTCGGCAAACCGAGGCGCAGCGGAGCGAGGAAACTTGCCGGAGGTCTCAACACGCCCGAAGCTTTAGCTTTCGTTTGACATTCGTTCTTCAGATAGATTCACTCGTAGACCCCGCCATCTGCCGCGCGGCTTTCTTTTATCCGTGCGCAGGCCCCGGCAAGAATGGCTTTGCAGTGAGTGAGTCGCAGAGCAAAACGACCGCCGCGTTGTAACTTGCAAACTCGGCGTTGTTATTAAAACAGAAATTAGGCGAACCGAGCTGTTGGGGTTTGATATTACCTTCGGCTTGAAGCTGTGCTCGAGGCTGACATACCAGTGTGGCTCGTCATTGCAGCCCACGCCTTTTCGAGTTGAAAAGTAATGTCGTCGAGAGAGACCGAGAGAGAGAGAGAGAGAGAGAGAGAAATAATGGCATTGCGCGAGAGAGAAAGAGAGAGAGAGAGAGAGAGAGGAAACCGATAACATATGGCCAGTCTTAAAAAGGTGTGTTCACACGCCAAGCGTCATATCTGCTGTGTTTCGGCGATGGTATTGCCCTTATCATCAGGACGTGAACGTTTCGAAAGACCTTTTAAAGCTTCCAGTTGAGCAATCTCCGAGCGCGCGCGCGCGTGTGTGTGTGTAAAAAAAAGAGAGGAAGGACTGAACGCACGGCGGATAAGCCACAAAACTATTGAGTGAAGGTCGAAAGTCATTGAAATTTGTACGTTAAGGACTCGTTACGGTTAATATTTGCCGCTTAAACGTAGCCGGGGGGTGGGGGGGGGGACTGAACCTCATTCGTAAGCTCGAGCGATTAGCCCCGTCCGCGCGGTTTTCTTGCCGAGCGCTACAAGCCGTGCACGAGTGTGATGGCGCGTGAGGGTAAAGACTTTCCCGCAGGTACGTGAGCAGCGAAGCAAGCGAATACTGTGGCGATTACGACGTTTGGGAGTCGACAGATCTCCGGTCGCAGGGCCCAGGGTTTCTGTGTTCGTGGAACTCCGCGAACACCGCCAATCGGAACCGAATATTTCAGTCGGGAACGGGACGAAGCCTTCTCTGTTCTTGGAGGAGTTCGGACCCCCGCTTTAAACCGAGGGAGCGGGGAGGGCGCGGGGGTTGTCAGACTGTGACGCGCACCGCTCGGGTAACTCCTGCTCGAGACGGAATCGACTCTGCGAGTCCCCTTTGCTGGAAAAGACGACGGCTGGATACGGAAAGGTTCTGCAGCCTTTCGGTTAAGAGCGCCCGCCTCGCGAGCGAAAGGACCTGGGTGCGATTCCCGGGCAGGGTGAAACCTTGGGCGAGTTCCCGTCCTCCACGCGCCTCTGTTCACCGAGCAGTCGGTAGGAACCTGGGCGTTAGTCGATGGTAGCGTCGCTTTCCGGGGGTAATAATCCCTTTTTTTTTAAAAAAAAGAAGAATTTGGTTACTCGATCCACGACTGTTTGCGGCACAGCGCTGTGCGCCGTTTGCTGCTGCGTTTCGCTCAAAAAAATATGCCGTCGATGTATCTTTTGTGAAGTGCTTCGAGGTGTCTCAACGACTTGATAAGGCGCTATTCCAGATGCAAGGATTATTATAGTGGGGGTTACAAAAGTTGGAGAAATGGGATTGAAAGATCTGTCATGGCCTCATAAAATGATAATTAGACCAATTACTAAATTCCCTTCTTAAGCAGTTTCTTGTCTCCTTGTGGGAGACAATATTATTAGTATAATTAACGCACATATCGGTATATCCTACCTGTTATTTAATTTGTTTCTAATTGTTCTTTTCTTATACCAATATATTAGCGGTCGTAGTGTATGTCCTTCTCCCGGATTATTGATTACAACAACAACTTGCACTTGCCCAGCGCCCTCCACGCAGTGCAGTGTCTCAGAGCGATTGAGACGCTACGCACAGCATTATTCTGTGCCGTTCCTGGTTTTTTTTTTTAAAAAAAAAGCAGCTTTCAGGCGGGATTTGTCGACGCTAACTCAAAAGTACCGAGTCAGTAACAAAAGTCTTTTGTTTATTCAATAAAAATAATGGCCTCTCTGTGCCGGTTGCCGAGTACTAAAGTATCACAGTATGAAGAAGGCGGTTAAGAAAATAAGAAAGTGTAGAAAAGGAAAGGGCCTCTTATCGTAGAACTGCTCCACTCGCTATCTCTTGGGTGGGGGGGGGAAAGCAGTGCATAGATGATCCATGAACACTCGATGATTGATAGAGCAGAACTGCAGAATATTCATCATTCTCACATCACAGGTTATTTAACCCTGATCGCCTTTACTCTGCGGACAAAATTCCCCCTTCCCTCCTTTGCTGTGGCAGAGGGGACACTCCTATAGAGCCGATGGCGTGTTCGTTCGTTTCAGTCTGTCTGCACCTACCCCCAGCGATGCGTAACCGTACGAGTTCAGGCGAGGGGAGAGGTTAAACCGCAGAAAGTAAAAGGAATGCAGCTCTTTGGGGGGTAGTTTTACTGACCGGGATTCTCAGACAAAGCAGCAGGTTGTGGGGTTAACAATCGTTAACATTTGAGCTCATGAGCAAACTATCAACGATGGGGGCTTTGCGCTTTGCTTTTTAACCAACAGGTACAAATGACATTGCCGCAATTTTAATTTCACTCATCGCTGGTGGAGTGTTGCTGGTGCACATTATTTGCCTCACTTGCCTACGGAGCAATAATGATGAACCTTTGTTATTATATACTATTAGTTATTTCCAGGTGGTGGTGCCGTTCTTTTGATTCTGCTATTTAACCTTTGGCTCTGCCTACCTGGTCATGAAGGGGGACGTTGATGTTTCAAAGGGAAGTTGAGTCTTTCTCCCAGTCAACCTGGGGTATACTCCGCTTCTCATTCAAATTTACCTCCAAATTTAAATGGATTGGCTGCTCCTCTCATTGGTTGCGGGCTGTTGCTCGTACAGATTACCCCTCACACTTTACCTATCTGAACAACATTCGCTTAACTTCTAATCAATTCTATTGAGGTGTCTTTTTTTTCATGATAGGCGCTGTCTGTCTGCAAGTCAGTGTTGTATAGAGTAGACGACATTGGTTTCACCGACTAAACGCGCCTCTCCCTTCGCAGTCTTGTTTCTGTCTGGATCAGATCGAACGCTCAGTAACTTTTGCTCTCTATTTTCAGATAAGATCGCCAACCATGGGTGCCAGAGTAGAGTTGTTGTGTTGGGGATATACCAATTTGGGACAGCTCGGTCTGGGCGATGTGGTTGAGAACATAATTGTTCAGCCGAGGACGTGTGAATTCTTCAGCAGTAAAAGCGTGCAGGAGGTGGCCTGCGGAAGATATCACACGGCATTCGTTTTGCAAGACGGAAGCGTCTATACGTGCGGCTCAAACAACTGGGGACAGCTGGGTCACGAAAAGGAAGGATACAGGCCAGGTAAATGATCATCTAGACCTCTGCTCAGCCGTTTTGTATCTGCTGACATTTTTTCGTCCACGCTGTTCTTCAGGGTGTGAAAGTGCTGGGGACGTGCGGACCCTGTAATGTGTCTGTTTAGAACCGGCCTCGTTAAACTCTGAAGATAAGAAAGACTCGCAGCAGTTACGATGGTCCTGAGATCTTTGTCTGGTCCAGATCATCAGGCAGATCGTTGTTTCTGGTTTACGTGGAGGCACTCGAGGCACATTGCTGGAAACCGAGAAACCCTTCTGTAATAATAATAATAATAATAATAATGGTTCTGTACCCACTTCAGCTCCCACCCCCCAGTTCTGGTGCAAAGCTATTATTGGGTCTTCCTCCCAGTGTGAAAAACACTATATCTTCTTAAATCTGGAATGTTGCTCTGTGATGGAAATGTGTGCGAAAGACAGAACAGCTCCGCGACCAAACCAGGAATGTTTTTTTTCCTGATACATAGGGTTGAAAATTACTGAACGCGTCCTGGAGCTGAGACTTTGCCAGCAGACAGAGGTGCATATCCTTATCATTGATTTCCTGCTATCGATGATAATGATATCAGGAAATGTGCCGGAGATGAGAAATGTGATTATAAAAACTGTATACGATGATCACCTAAAAGGTAAACCTGGCCGTCAAAATTCCCATCAATGTCTGGCCGGGAGTATGACACTTCCCCTTCTTCATCGGGAATCTGAAGTCAAGATGCTGGCGAGCCACAGACCATCAACCTGAAGTGGGTCGGGAGGGGAAGAGAGGTCTTGAGACAGCGGAGTGAGGGTGGGAGCGAGTTGGAGAGCGTGTGGGCAGATAGGCTGATGGTCGGGCGGGGAACACGAAGCAGGCCAGTGCTCGCCAAGCGAAAGGAAGTGGCTGGGTTCGATGCGGTGAGCTTTTCTCTGTTTTCCAGACCGGGTTTCACCCCGGTCGGTCACTTCCATCTCAGCTGGGTTTTTTTTTTAACGGAAAAATGCAATTCAGGATTTATTTATTTTTAAAAAAGAACCAATTTTCTTTTTTACTTGTCCTCTCCCGTCGCAATTGCAACGAACAAAACGGGTCAAACTGACTGACTGGGTAAAGATTCTGTTGGGTTTTACGCCCGGCAGCTTCAGCACTTTCAGTCGCTAATGGGATTTCCCATTATAATCGACGCAGATCTGTGTGTGTGTGTCTGTAATGCTCAATGGAATGTGAACCCTGAGATTTTAACCAGCAGTTAAACCTGTTCTCATGCGCTTGTGACGTGGGTGCTTGAGTTACTTGGTTGGATCCGACTGTAAAGTATGTAGCCCAAGATATTACTAAGGTGTCAGCTTAAGGTGTCTCAAGGTAAAGCACTTATAGGTCAATGCAACTCAAGTAAGCAGAAGTAAAGTCTCCGTGCCAGAGTCTAAAGATAGTTGAGGACAGACACTGTTATAATCTGCACTCAATCCCCTTCCCTGTCTTGAGAATTCAAGCTGTGGTTTGGTTGAAGATGACATATTGTACTTGCACTTTGTGCGTTACGTGTCACCTGGGGAAATGAGTCTGCCCTTAAACGAAGGTGTTTGCAGAATGAAAATATAACCCTTTGATCCTCGAGTGCAATGACTCGGTGACTTTCACTTTCAGCATCCGTGCAGACCGAGCGATAGTGCCGGATTACCGCAGTGTTTTGGTTTAAAAATAGTCATCACATTTGTATTGTGATTTCAGAATTGATTGCTCCTCAGACAAACAGCAGTAATGGATTGCAGTGAAATACTAAGCTTGGTTCTATTGATTGAAATTATGATAAACCTGCTGGTCACGAGGATTATGTCCGTTTTAAAACTGGTCTGATTTTTTTTTGCTTTGCTGACGGAATACAATCAAGAAGGTTCTTTAGCCCCATTGGATCTCAACTTTCCAGAATACCCTATTGCCTTTCATCGAGTTGTTGCTTAATTGAGTCCAGAGACCTGAGCTCTGCTTTCCTTCCTGGTAACCTTTCCAGCTGTTTAATTATCTTCTGTAAAGAAGTACTTCCTGGAAAGGTTACCAGGAACTCACAGCCCTCTATCCTACTGCCCTTAACACCTGCATATTATACTGCAGTACAGGGTAGGAGGGAGGGAGGGAGGGCATCCTAAAATATTGTTCTGAAACAAGTAGAATGGTATGATCTCAAATCTAATGTAATTTTAGGATATAGCTGATTGGTAAACTGCTTAAACTTCCCTCTTGCAGAATATGTCAAACCAAGGTCCCGTCCCTTCCTGCCCGCCCAGGTGAATGCCAAACATCCCAATGGCACTACACACAAAGGGAGTCCCTTCTGGCGCCCCCGGCTGAGAATTCCCCCTAATAAAACTGGTAGCTCGCTCCGCCGATGGAGTGCGGTCCAAACTGAGGTCATTTGGAAAGATGGTTGCAGGACTTTCCTGCCCACGCAGACTGCCACGCCCGTCCACAAAACTCACGTCACATCTCCAGCTAGCTGGCCGGACAGGAATACTTGAGAAAGTCCCCTTTCAGAACCTGCTTTGCGTTCTTTTCGATCTGAGCAAAAATGTCAGCGCAGCGCTCATCCCAGCACTGCGTTGGAGCGTTGGCTTGGACTATGTGATTTCAACTCCCAACGTGGGCTTTGAACCCACAACCTTTTGACTCGGAGATGAGAGCGCTACCACTGAGCCAAGCTGACCCCCAATGCAATATTTTTTTATATATATTGCACCAGTGAATCAATCAGTCTGGGTATTGATCGTTAAGCAATTCCAGGCACTGTTCACAAATTAACTTCAGGCCTAATGTGGTTCTGTCCCTGTTTTAAAATCATTCTTTCAGCCAAGCGTGTTTGAGGTTTAATTTGACGTAATGCTAATACATGACAGTCCACGTGTCTTTTTCTTCACGCTCATTAGAACAAGTGAGAGCACTGGACGCACAGACCATTAAACATACGGCTTGTGGCGAGTCCCATACTCTGGCTGTCAACGATCATGGCCAGGTCTTTGCATGGGGAGCAGGAAAAGATGGACAGCTGGGAATTGATTCCATGGAAGAAACAGTCAGAAAACCAAGGTACTAAATGGGCTTCACAGCCTTCAACTGGAAAGGAGTTTCAGAATCCCTTTGTGTTGGATTTAATGTCACGGTAACAAATCGAGCGTTAGAATTTTTTTGTTTGTTTATCTATGTTTTGGATTCATTTATTTGGGGGTGCGGGGGGGGGGGGGAGCAGGGGGGAGAAGATGGATGGGTAGTGGAAGCTTACGCAGGTTTTTGCAGGTGCACTCTTACAGATCTAGTCGCATTCTTGTGGGTCTTCGCTATATAAGATCTCCAAAGGCGCACCCTTAAAGGTATTTATTAATAATGATAATAATAATCGTGATGAACCTTACGTTAGTTATAGCGGCTTTCACGTGGGGTGGTGACTGCTAAAAGCCACGTGGGAACATAAGAACATGAGAGGTTACTAGGTGAAAGAAGACCTAGATCCATCTAGTTCGCCTTCCACCACCAGCCTGCAGTCGCTTGACATGTTGTGTCCCAAACTATATACTGTATCCTGAGATATTATTTTCTAGCGGAAATCTGTCTAATTTGTTCCAGAAACAAACACATTTTTTTACTTTCACCGTCTGCCTAGGGAGCCTGCTCCATAAGTTTTCGACTCGCTCACCGAAGTAGTGCTTCGGCAGATTTGTTCTGAATTTACCCCCCCAACCTTCAATCACAGACGGTGTCCGCTTGTTCTACTGTTCAGCACAAGATAACTCAGCTTATCGTGGTCTACATTAGACAATACAAGGCCTGCAGATGGTGGGGCGGGTCGGGCGGGGGGCGTGGAGCAGGCCGGAGCCTGCTGAGCGGAGGGAGGTTGATAAGGCATCTATTCCCTTCAGAATCTTAAAGACCGTAATCATATCGTCCCTCAACCTTCTCTTCCCCCGGGTGAACACGCCCAGTTTACCTAATCGCTCCTCCTAGTCCAGTCCCTCCCATCCCCTCAATCACGTTGGTTGTCCTCCTCTGTATCCTCTCAATCCCTGCAATATCCTTTTTATATATTGAGGCGAGCAGACAGTATTCCAAGTGCGATGACACCAGTGATTTTTAAAGTAGCAGCATTAACCCTCTATTTCAGCTCAATATTGCCTTTTTAATACAGCCCAGCATCTGCTTTTGCCTTATTCCCTGCTACCGAGCACTGCAGCGATAGCTTCAATTTATTGTCAATCCGGATCCCCAGGTCCTTTACATTTTCCGTACGGATTATTTTCTTAACACCATTTAAATCGTAGTCCCTTCCCGGCACTCTACACGAAACGCACTCCCATCGTGTTCAGCAGCAGGCACCTTATTCCCCAGCTAAGACCAAATGCGTAGCAAATGCTGTGTTTGGAAGCTGGGTATGTTGAGCTGGGTGTTTGCAAAGTTTTTTTTTCTCTTTTATTTTTTTCCCTCCTTGCGCTTCGTCCCTCCGTTTCCTTGACCACGTATTTTTTTTCTCTTCTTTCAGGTTAGTAAAGTCATTGAGTGGACATGAGGTTACTCAAGTCACCTGTGGAAGCTGGCACTGCATGGCTCTAACTAAAGGTACTGCAGCAAATGGAGCATTCTCCTTCTACTCCATGGACACAGTAAAACTCTCACCGCACACACGGTGGCATTTCAGTTTCTAATGAGGTCTAATTATGCACCACGTGCGAACCATGTGGAAACGCTTGGGATGCCCTCCCGACGTGACAGGCGCTACCTACGTGTAATTTGTCGTTGTTTACGGAGGGAATTACAGGCGCTCCCCCTGATGTAATTAGCAACTGCTGAAAAGGGCCGGTTGTTCATCACCTAATTAATACATTTCCATTGGTTGTCAGTGTTTACGTTCTTAAGGCAACTGTAATTTCCTCTCTACGTGTGTTTGTATACGGTTTACACCTGGCACATAATAATCCCCAGCGTGAATGGCTTGCTTCGTGATAGAAAACTTTCGCCAACACCCCTCTTATGTTGCTCTGCCCACTTCTTACAATGCATCCGGACGATACCTGAGTGTGTTGACTCCCAAAAGCGGTATGTGGTTAGGGTTTGCTGTAGGGATTATAATTCAGGCGAGTGTGGATGTGGAGCAGAATGTGAATTTTGATGCAGTGATCTAACAACTGAACTGACTTACTGATACTGGTGAAGTTGAATACCTGTATTTAATTATCCTCCTGTTTTCTTTCTATCTCCCCCACCCCACCCCCCATTCTGTTCGGCCGTATTATACTGTGGCAGTATGCTGTCAACCGGGATATATCTGTACTTCCCATATTTCTTCATTTGTATATTTAACAGATCTCTCATCACTCATCATGACTTATTCTCTAACAATAGCTCTGGTCAGAGGTTTTAAAAACTACCAACGATTTATCAGATTAAATAAAGGACCGTTTTTTACCAAAGGTTGTTTCGCCCTAAAATTCAGGATGCGGGTCAGACACCAGTACAAAGGAAAGGAGTCCGTACAATCAGCTCCGTCACCAATAAATTCAGTTTAAACTGCTCGAGGTCCTCAAGGTTCCTATGCACTTGGTACCTGTGCGCTGTGTTGCAAAGTGTTTTGGAGCAAGCGCAGTGTTGCCGACGAGACTCGGGTGGCTGAGGAAAGCAAGATTTTGGAACGTATAAACCCCTGTTTTTAGGATTTGCATTTGGTGGGCTGCTGTGGGGATTCTCGATAGCACAAAGGGGGGTAAATCTGATTCCTGTTTTTTCAGATGGGCAACTGTTTGCTTGGGGGCAGAACACTCACGGACAGCTGGGGCTCGGCCAAGGCATATCCTCCCAGTCCAACCCCCAGTGTTTGAAGACCTTAGTCGGGATCCCTTTAGCGCAGATCACGGCCGGAGGAGCCCACAGCTTTGCTCTGTCTCTTTCGGGGGCCGTGTTCAGCTGGGGAAGAAACCACTGTGGACAGCTGGGGCTGAGTGACGAGAAAGGTAACAGAACTGAACGGCATGCTAAGGGGCTAGACTGGTGTCGATAAGTTTTAAGCGTGCAACCCGAGCACCGTTTGATTTTCTGACCGTCGTTTCCAGTGAGTTGTGAATGCGTCCGTGCAGTCAGAGAAGCTCTTGAAATGTTGAGCTGGGTGGGGGAAGATTCTCACGCGCTCAATACCATTATGATTCCATGCACTCTGCTCAGCAAATGAGTGCGTAGATTATATGGTTTCCTGAGCCAATGCCTTTTGCGTTTGGCACACATCATGGATTGACGCGAGACAGCTTCTGTAAGTCTGGCGGGAATCCACTCGTCTTGGCCCGAGAATTCTGTAGTTTGAAAATGGGAAGTCACGCGAAAGAGTTTCCTACCACCGCTGATAATGATCAGTGTGATAGGTCACAAGTTTTTGCCCAACGCTAACGTTTGTAGACCGAGGGGAAACCTGAACTTGTGTTTGACTTTACGACCAACTCGCTTGTCTACCGAATTATTTCCTGCACTATTCAGAAGTTAACGTACTTCCGGAGATTGGAAGCAATAATTGAGGATCCATCGTATCGGATTTCAGCTACTTTGGGTAACCTGTTTCCCAGTGCTGTGCATTGCTTTTGTTTAATGTCAGGGCTCAAAATGTACATCCATTACAAGCTGTGCGGTTTTAGCTGGTCAGACTCCAGCAGTGCCCAAACCCACACTCTGGGGTCCCCAAGCCTGGGCTCTTGCCAACCCTACTCCTAATACTTTCTGGAATTAGGTCAGCAGGAAGTGTCCCTCCAGGGAGAGAGAGAGAGCGAGAGGGCGCATTCCATTCCAATAACCTATCTCTGGGATTTCCATGTGTAGGTGGGTTGCATGGAAATCTCAGTTTGGTTTGGATACTCTTAAGCAACGGTGATGGGTTTCCGCGTGTGTCAGACACTTGGCTGACCACAAATAAATAACGTTCGCGTGCGTCCTGTAAATCGAATCAGTTTTATCTTTTAACCATTCTAGGATCATGTAATGGTTGAGAAAAGGAAGATGGCGGGGTGTGGGTACAACTCACGGCAAATGACACCTTGCTCCTCTTGAAAATGATCGTTTTGTTTTCCTACTAGACCGAGATGTTCCATTTCATGTGAAGTTCCTGAGGAGCCAAAAGATCGTTCATATCAGTTGCGGGGAAGAGCACACAGCTGCTCTGACAAAGGTAACCGCAAAATATTCGGTTGTTTTTTTGGGGGGAGGAGGAGGTAAGATGCAGAGGTCAATGGCACCTCCATGCAACTTTGTTGTGTGAACTGTAAATATGGGGTTTGTTTTACATGCCAGTGCCAACAGTGTTGCTGGTTGATAAGTTGGCATGAGTCCGATTTTTCTTTAAGCTGTCAGTATGATCCATGTGGGATGCCCTCCCGACGTGAAAGGCACGATACAAATGTTGATACTTCCCAAGATCACCAGCTGGCTTCATTGTAGAGTCGTGCAGCTCAGTGGTTAGAGCGCTCGCCTCGCAAACTGGAGACCTGGGTTCGATTCCCGGGCAGGGTGAAATGTCGGGCAAGTTTCCTTACTCCACACGCCTCTCTTTACCCAGCAGTAAGTAGGAACCCGGTTGTCAGTCGATTGGCGGATCGCTTTTTCGGGAGCAATAATTCCTTCAAAAAAAAATAATAAATTGGTCACTTGATCCGCGACTGTTTGAGGGACACTGCTGTGCACAATTGGCTGCCTTATTTCGTCCACAAAATATACAGTCAGTTCACTTTAAGTCTCTTCTTTGAAGCGCTTTGAGACAGCTCGAAGACCTGATAAGGTGCTATATCAAATGAAAGGATTATTATTATTATTAGCTCACGTGAACAGAACACGATTAACTTTTCTGTACAAGCATTACATTTCGAGATTGAAGTATTGGATCAGTTACAGCACTGGTTCTGATTTATATTTTCTGTTTATATAAAAAAAAAGACAGCCCTAGATTGAGCTGTTCCTGTAAGAGTGGTATGTTTTGATTGCTTTGGGGGAAATTACGTCAGAACAAATGTTTTCTTTCAAATATTAAATATTATCATTAATAGTAGTCTACCGGGCAAGACATCAAGCTCTGGTTGAGCCTTAATTTCTCCAACTAAATGTTGATGGACCGAGGCATTTCTACTTAGCTGTCTCCTTATCTTAGGCGCTGACAATATCAATATCCCCTGTTGTTACTCCAGCTCCTAGAGCTTGGGTGGAATCGTAGAGCTTAGCTTGACCTTCAGGTCTCCTTTAAGCCTTTCATCCGGGCTCTGACCAAATCCACTTTCTTCCAGTCACTAGCCTTGACTGTTCCCCTGCTCCCCAACTGCATCCTCTACAAACTCTGTCCTCTACATCGGCTGCCGCGTTTCACCCACAAATATACAGTCAATTCACTTTACAGTCTATTCTATCAAATGTAGGGATTATTATTATTATTCAGAACTCTGCTACCCTCATTTTCTCCCACTCTGGATTCCATGAACCAACCACCTCCATCTCGCTTGATTCTACCGGCTCCCTGTCCCCAACCAATCAACTTAAAATTCCTTTGTGCCATCAAATATCTCCATGACTTTGGCAAATCTTATCTATGTGATATCCTGTTGTCCTACTCCTATGCTTATCGCTTCTATTAACTTTGTTTTGCTTCATGGCTTCCCCGCTACCACCACCACCACCACCACCCCGCTACTCCATTTTTACCAGCAGAGATTCTTCTAGGAAACATTAAGCTGAATTATGCTGTCTTAACATCTTTCCTTAGAGCGGAGGCGTTTTTACTTTCGGGTCTGGTCTTTGTGGGCAGCTGGGCCACAACTTCATGAACAATGAAGTCAACCCACGCAGAGTGCAGGAGCTGATGGGCACTGAAGTCTCCCAGATAAGCTGTGGCAGGTACGTGTGCGTGTATATTGATAGCAAGTCGTGTATATGGCGAGTCAGCTTGAGTGGTTGCCATTATTCGGGTGGAGTTTGCAGGAGCTTGCAGGACGATTGTATTTTATCGTACTGCAGTGGAGTGATATGATGATAATAGAATAGGGCCCTTGACCCCCGTGCTTGTTGTGTCATGTAGATGCTTTTTGTTTTGGTATATTCCTTCTCCGTGTTTCCTCAAAGGTAGAGTATCGGTATAACCTTTCATCCTGCGTTATTCATCCATGTTGCCTTCCTTTTGCAACGACCTTTTGAATGTTTCGCTGACCCAGGAGTACTTCCTTACACTGATGGTTTGATTCCTGTAAGTTGGGCTGGGGGAATGGCGGGAGGGGAGATTGTGGCCGCTTGAATTTTGTGTTTTCTATCATTTTAACTCTCCCACCAAATTAAATCTGCCGTCAATTTTCTTGTTTGCACATGAGCAGCGTTACGGTGGATGTGATTCCTGTCATATTTCATGTGAAAAGGCAATTGAGGGAAAGTACCAGAAGTTTTCCACACTGCGGAGGATTGCTGGGCATTGGAATTTGAATCATTTCCATGCGAGCTTTCACAGGAATGTGGAGTCCTGTAGCTCAGTGGTTAGAGCGTTCGCCTCGCAAGTGAGAGGACCTGAGTTCAGTTCCCAGTAGGGTGAAACCTTGGGCACGTTTGCTTACTCCACGTAACGCCTCCGTTTACCTATCAGTAACAGGAACCTGGTTGTTAGTCGATTGGTGCATCGCTTTTCCGGTGGTAACAATTCCTTCAAAAAATTATAAATAATTTGGCCACTCAACCCACTACTGTTTGCGGGACAATTGTACGCAACCGGCTGCCGCGTTTCGCCCCACAAAATATACAGTCAACTCATTTTACAATATGCTCTGTGAAGCGCTTTGAGACATCTCGAAGACGTGATAAGGCGCTGCTTCAAATGTAAGGGGATTATTGTTGTTAAGAATAACGAACTCGCCCTTTGGAGGCAAGCTGTCAGTGACAGCTTTATGTTTAAAGGTATTCCCCTTGTGCCATCTGCTGGCGTTGTCCTGCTGTTACATTTTAAGGTTGTTCAGTGTGTAGGACTTCCATCGGGGTATCGCTTGGGAGAAAGGAATGTTGCGTGTGCAGGGATGGAAGATGATTTGGGGAGTTTAGGCTTAATTGACTGAGTTCGGTGACGAGCTTTTCCCCCAGGAGTTCACGGCTGAGGTGAAACCCATGATTGGGTAGTTTTAGGTAGTGGACTATACAAGGAGCTGGACTGATGGGTGAAACGGTGCATGCTTTCTTATATTAGAAACCTTTACTCTCTTGCGGGTGCAGCTCCGATGAGATGTCTCTGTTGTTTTGTGATATTGATTTGCCTTTCCTCATCTCAGGCAACACACACTTGCTTTTGTTCCTTCTTCTGGGCTAATCTATGCATTTGGACGTGGAAACAGAGGGCAGCTGGGAACTGGCCATACATTCAACGCTCAGGTCCCATACAAAATACCTGGAAACTGGGTCCCTTGCAAACAGAAGCTACCTCTGAACGCTGGTAAGTTTAAACTGAGATGTTCGGCTAGCTTTAAATGGCGATATTGCTGTCAATCCCAAGAACGGTGCTCAGTTTGACTACAATTCCTCTGCTTGTTCAGCAATGAGGTGCGGTGGACAGTACTTCATATCGGGATTCGTATTCAGTTCAGCATTTCGGAAAAATTGTGCACATAAGCCCATGCTAGTTTACCTGAGAATAAATCCTGCTTGATATATTTCTTCCCAACCTAGCCTCCTTTCCCCTACTCGGGAAGTTTATATTTTGCAATTATTCATTTTAACTGGATTTATAGCAGTTGTCTTCTTTTGCGATGATTTTAACACAACAGAAATTTACATTTATGAAGCACTTTTCATGTTGGCAAGATGTCCAATGGGGGAGGGGGGAGAGAACTTTCTGATGCACCAACGTGAAATGTATTACATTGAAATGTTCCTGTCTTACAATGTGTTACAATAGACTGGAAAAGGTTTGCAAAACAAAACGTGTGTGGCAATGGAATGAATAATAATAATCCTTGCATTTGATATAGCCCCTCATCATGTCTTTGAGACGTCTCAAAGCGCTTCACAGAACATACTGTAAAGTGAATTGACTGTATATTTTGTGGGCAAAACCCGAAAGGCAATTGCACACAGCAGCGTCCCCACAAACAGCCGTGGATTGAGCGACCAATTCATTTATTTTTTGGTTAAGATTTACATTCAGTACATTGCTGCATGCTTGTGCATTTAGCATCACTAAATACCTAAATACTAAATACCTGCTGTATTTCGTTGATAGACCAATCAAAATATTGTGTGCTGAAACATATCTGCAGTGGAGGAGATCAGAACTTCGCATTTTGCTTTCACTACAAGGTGAGATGTAACTCAGAAAGTTAAGAGTAAGACTGGTTCAGAGATGTTTCTATATCTGCGCATGAAAATTAGAACAGAGTTCAGTTTTTATCTGTTGAAGGCTACCGTTCCAGCCACCGTGGGGAGCAGGGAATCTTCTCACTCAGATCCTGTTAACTCTCGAAGCCAAAGCCCTAATGGGTAGGGTGGTCCTTCTTGAATAAGCAGCATAAATCTTACCAGACAGTGTTGTCAATGCTGTTTTAGCTGTTTAAACTCCAGCAATACCCACACTCTGGGGTTCCCAAACCTGGACTTTGGCCAACCTGCATTTAATACTGTCCGGAATTAGGTAACCAGGATATGTCCTCGGGGAGAGAGTGCACTTTTCTTTCCAGCCACAGGGAACTTTTCATATGCAGGTGGCATACATGGAGCTCTGTCTGGTTTGGAGACTCTTAAGCATGGCTTTCCGCATGTGTTGCACGCCGGGGCTGACACCTCCCTCTCACAAAAAAAATGCAACTACCATCTTATACCAATGGACCAAATCAATTAATTTCAAAAGTTCCGAGTGAATTAAGGGCACTGTTGCAAATATGATATATATCCCAATCTATATCTGTTTGTCTTTTGCTCTCTCATTCTAAAAGCAATTAACTTTGAATTAAATGTTTAGCTATTTGATTTCCCCAAATATTAAGTCTCAGTTTTTGCAGGTCAGCGGTGGGGTTCGAGGAAGCAAGCGTAGTGAGCTAATGCCTCCTCCTTTCACTCTTGAGGCTTGAGATTGCCGTGCCTTTATACTTTTTTTTTATTGCATTGAAGAATTCAGAAGTGCCGGATGACTTTCGGAGCGTGGATCCTTCAGGATGTGTCAGAACAATTAACAATAACAGCGTCAAGTGGACGTTGCACCTCGAAGGAAACAACGTACTTGAGTAGGTTTATTATCTCTTCGATCCATTGACAGATGTATAAACTGGAGTTAATTTTAATTTCATTTTAGTTATAACTTGTTCTATAATACTCCCCTCAGTAAAGTATTCCGAGAGGACACCGGGTGACTTATATTGTACCCCTGAGGTCAGCTTTTCAGATATCACTGCCAGGTCTACGTGTTGGGCACTCTTGGCTTCTCCTGTCAATATTAACCTCGAGTTGGGCTGAAGATTTTCCACCGCAGATTGGGCAAAATAGAACATTGGATCTATCTCGCATTGATTGCTGAACACGGTGTGTGCCCCCGACCCACCCACCAGTCCTTGTAGTATTTTTTGTTTCCCTGAAAAAAAAACTGCACCTCAAAGGTTTAGGTACATTACATTTTAATTTACTATACAGTATATATATATTTTTTAAAAAACTTTGTCAGATTTTTAGCGATTGGGAACTGGGCTTATTTTGGAAATGGGCTTCACAGGAGAAGCCATGTTGCTGTAGAGGTTCCTGTTAATGCCACTGAAGTGTGACTCTTTAATGGTGCTTTCTGCTAATCAGCTTCTCGTCCACATGTCAGGGACGTCACGCCTAGTTTGTGCTTTGAGTTATGGTGTTAGGCCATTTGATCTCATCCTTCCAGAGCAGCTACCCTGCCATCCTCCCATCACAGTATCAAGCTGTTTCTTAAATGAATCTAATCACCCTGGCCTGGCCTGGCCTGGCCTCACCCGTCCTTCCTGCTAACCTGTTTCAGTCATTAGCCATATTTCTGCGAATGTATCCGAGCACCACAGGAAACTCTGAATCTGCGTGACTGAGTGGTAGGGCACATCCCGTAATCCTTCACGTGTTGAGATCTGCTGTTCAGCACCCACCTGTGGTGACATCAGGGAAGGAGGGTGACCTCAGAGGTGGGGCTCTGTACCTCCTAATAACCGGTTTGGGCAGAGACGTGAAGGCTGTTACTTGCCAGTCTGCTCCTCCAGGGCAATGGGTGGGTTAGGAGGAGCCAAGAAAATGAACTGAACGGCTGAATGACTGAGTTATTTCAAGGTTGCCATCTAAATCTGAATTCCAGCTTTAGTTACGAAACGGTTTGAGCCGCGCCATTTGGGCTTACGGTCTTAAAAATGATTCAATTGCTGCCCGAAAGTGGTTTCCCAGGCGGCCTCTTGTGGAGCGTAGAGGATGAGAACGTAATTGAAAGGTGCTGCAACTTTCCTGGCAGCGACGAAATGTACAGAGCCCTTGCTGTAACTCAGTAGTTGGGATTCGTAAAACATGTCGAGGCTGACATATTTTACTGTCAGCGCAGGAACCAGCCAGCTCACTTCCTAGAGGCTGGTTGGGTGCAAATGCACTATCGTACCCTACCTCACTGAAATGCACGTTGCTAACTAAGCGCTCCGAGACGCCGTCCGTCGTGAAGGGCACTATACGAACGCAAGTTGTTGTTAAGTTATGTATCGTCCAGAGGCTGCGCTCTATTTAATTTGTGCACTGGCTGTTTCTAAAGGGGTCGGTAATTATTAACGTCAGACACTCATTTTTATCGGTTACGTTGATCTGATTTCTGTTGCGTTGATAGGGAGAAAATGATTTGACTGTATCGTCCTTCGCGGTTGCCTGATGCTGGTTCAGAGAGGATTTCGTAGCAGGAACAGTGCTTGTGCCTCAGACCGTCCTAATATATTGTAGATATTATCGTGAACGTTAATTAACTTACTCACAGAATATGCTGGTAAAATCATACCAGTTGTTCAGGATTCACTAGATGAGTAGTTCAGGACATGACACGTGCAAGCGACTGGCAGGGTGGTGGCAGGTGAACTGTGTGGACCTTCTGTCTTTTTTTTTCCATCTAGCATTTCGGTGTTCCATGGCACAAGTATTAGGGAACGTTAATTAGGGCAAGCACATCGGAATACCCTTCGAGCCAGAGCGATTCACGATGAAAAGGGTCTGCCACGACTTGAATTAAAATGCGTTTCTCCTGTGGGGTTTTTTTTTTTCCCCGGAGCTTTTTTTTTAAAAAAAAACGAAACAAAATTAAGACAACTTTACTTTGTGATGTGAATTTGAGCTCTGTTTGAATTGCCTGCCGGTTTGGGATGGAACACGTGAAGTTAGCTCAAGCGGGTTGCTCACCTGTCGATCACCGATGGTAGATAGCGAGCCAACTGGCAGATGACTAGTGAGTAGAATTCAACCTGTGTTGATTTTATTTTGAATCAGTTATATTGTTCCATTTTTTTTCTCTCTCTCTCTCCTCTGTTTACAGTGAATTGAACATGATCTTCTCTTCCGTCGCCTGCTTCAATGGAAGTTTTCTTGATCACCAGTAAGTGTGTGTGTGGAACCGCAATCACTTTTTAAGTTATACAGATGTTAAGAGCTTTGGGTGTTTAGAAATTGTGGAACCTTAAGATCAATTTGCATTGTGGACACGTTAACTGCAGGGATTCTGGCTAAATCAATACATATATATATATATACACAGCGCCTTGCCTCATAACCACATCAGATGTTCTAAGTGGTTCACAAGGCAGTGCAGAAGGAGGCCATTTGGCCCATCGAGTTTGCACTGCTCTCAGAACACATTGCACTCTCAGTCCCATTGCCCTGCCCGATCCCTGGACCCTGAATGTAATTGAGTAACAACCTAATATTGTAACAGGAAAAACATTTGCTGCTCTGGAGGGATCAGAGTTGTAATAATCCTTGCATTTGATATAGCACTTTATGTCTTTGAGACGTCTCAGAGCTCCTCACAGAATATACTGTACAGTGAATCTGTACTGTATATTTTGTGGGTGAAACGAGGCGGCAGCCAATTGCGCCCGGGGAAGTGCCACTGACTTGGCTTTCTCTGCACGGTGCACTTTTTATTCACTTTCTATAAGTGCTGTGTGCAAAAAAAAACGTCATTTGATACGAATACGTATAGAAAAGCAAATGCAAGGATTATTATATTATTATTTAGTTTGTGAAGCACATGGGAGCTGGTATCGGTGGCTATTCATGCTGGAAACCAGGGGCCAAAGGAAGCTGGCCCTATGAGCGAGACCATCAGGGGTTCCCGGGTCATTACCGGCTTCCCCTTGGAATATGTTTTATTTTAAATGGAATTCTATAATATTGGCCGCTGTGTCAATTTTTACGTCATTGTAAACGAATAGTGGATATCCTTGAAAGCAAACAAATTCTGAAATCTGATCTCGAGCCATGAGTAAAGAAGAGAGAACAGAATTTTTTTCTGGCTGTAGTAGAAGCTACGGGTGGGGGTTGCTGGAGTTATAGGGGTATTGCTTCTAATTTGTAGCTTACCTATTTCATGGACTTGCAGCAATCCAAGTATAATATAAAAGTATATCAGTACTATATAAATATATAAATTGGCTGCCACGTTTCGTCCACAAGATATGCAGTCAATTCACTTAACAGTGTACTCTGTGAAGGGCCTTCAGACATCTCGAAGATGTGATAAGGCGCTATGTCAAATGCAAAGATTATTATTATTATTATACGCCTTAGAAATAAACAACAACAACAAAATTAAACGTGTAGAGCGCCTTTCACGTCGGGCGGACGTCCCAAGGCGCTGAAACAAGTTTCAAATGCAGAGAAGTTTTTTTAAAAGCATGTCATGAAAGAGTGATGAAATGTGCTTTACGCTGTTTTTTTTTTGTGTTTTTTTAAAAAAAAAGTAAAAGTCTCCCTTTATTTATTTTCATCAGAAACGACGAACATTTTAAAACTGGCCCGTGGAGCTCCGGTGTTGACCTTATCGCCGCTCGATTGTTTTTTGACAAGATGGCAAAGACTGAGTACTCCAAGTTACTGCAGCAGGTAATTCGAAAACTATTCTGCACTCCTCCGTTAGAATCGGGGAGAGGGGAGAAACGACATCAAGGCAGAGGAGACTCTCCTTCAAATCTCGGGGACTTGGAACTGACCTAATGCTGACGAGGTGCACGTCCGCATGAGTTCTCAATGAATTTGGTACAGTAATCAATAACTTGCTGCAGTTACGTAGCACCTTTCAAACTGGTGGGGGTGTGTGTGTGTATGGATCATGGGCTGGGTCAATAGAAAAGTGCTGCTGCAATCCTTCCACGAAATCCGTTACACACATGCACCTCCCTGCCTCATACACGCGCCCCCCACCCCACCCCCCCACTCCGCTACACCCCCCCCCCCACACTCCTCTGTTGGTCCACCCAGTTTTTAGTGTTAAAGAAGCAATTAAAAGTTTTTTTTAGGCAGCAATCTAGAACGTGCTATTCCCTCATGTTTAGTTTTGATCAATAAATTGAAAAAATGTACTTGACGGTCAAATGTACCTCAACGTCACCAAAATTTGTCCCCGTAGAGGTTAGTCGCGTTTCACAAGCAACGTTTGGCAAATATTTCTGCACTTCTCTACTGCCGCAGCCGATGAAGATGAGTGAAGAGACTTTTTTTTTCCTTCTGTTTTTTTCAGGCTACTGTGACTTTGGAGAACCGTCTGATCGCTCAGTTGCCGACTTCGCCGCCTGATTTTGAGGCCATGAGAGCATTTTTAATTCTGCCGGTGTTTCCGCTCTTTCAAGACCCAAAGAATTACTTGACCTTAACTCTGCCGTTCGCCGCGGCTGTTCTGCGCTTGGACGCGAATCCGAGCAAAGTGTTAGGTAGGTACTGAGCGCGCGAGAAGGTGGTCTGACATTGCGGCCTCGTAAACGTCAATTACAAGCCAGTATTGCGACAAATGGGAACAACTTCATGTTTTTTTTTAAAAAAAATACCGGTACAAAGACTTCAGCACCAGAATACAAGTCATTTAACACCCAAGGTTAGACTGCCTTGAAATCACTCGAGGGATTCTGTTATTTGTTAACGTATTGACAGCTGGCAGGTTATATCGCTCGCTAAATCGCAGAGATTTAAGTCAGTAGCTGCTGTCCGGAGAGTTTTGTCTGAAGGTGGCTGGCCGGGCGTTGTGCATTGAATCAATACAAGTCCGGAAAAGGTGGTCTGATCTGACCTGATCTATGTGAGGCACTGGCACGTTGACTGAATTGGCACCACCTCTGGAGCCACCCGACAACAGTTTCCCACATTATCCACCGTTCTTTCCTCTCAACTTACGTTACGGTTATCTTTCCACATTTGATTTTGTTTTAAACCCCACTCCCCCCCCCCACCCAGCATTTTTCACAAGACATTTGCGGGTAGGTCTACCATCAGCAGTGCTGAATGCGAAAAGTATAGAGGAAACATATTAAATGTTTTAACATTTTGTTGAGCGATACAACCCGATACTTTGGAGCACTTTGCAAACTGTTTGGCAGTGCCATTGGTATTCTAATGTTCCGTGTCTGAAGGTTAGGATCCAGGTTTATCTCAACTGTGCAAATAAATGCGAGTCTAGTTGTAGTTTTGACATTGAAAGTATGATTTTTGTTTCAAGCCATCAGCTTGTAGCAGACAAACGTTTGGCCAGGTAAATACCCTTTTCTTTGGTCTTCCTAGATAATTGGTGGTCGGAGGTGGACATTGGGTACTTCTGCCGATTAGTAGAAATCTACAAGAACGCTGTGGTCTTCCTTTTGACCAGGATGAAGACTCTCCAGCTGGCTCCTCTGCTTAGCCATTATGTAATTTATGCTCTTCGAGTTTTAGAAAAACTGTACAAGGTATTTATTGTTTATATTACCTTCCCTTTTGACACTTAGTAATGCTAACCCTTTTTCACTTTGGTGCAAGGAATTGTGGTAATTTATTACTTGCGCATGGATTTTGTGTGTGTGTGTGTGTCGTGATCTTTTTTGTATTTAGAAAATTAAATAAGGTTTTAGTGGCCCAAATAAAAAGAAGAATGGGTTTTCCTCTTGTGACTGTATTCACCACAAAGAAAGCAGCAGGTCCCTGTTCTCCGGTGATCTGAACTGTGCCTCTCCTCATTGCGCAGGTGAACATGAACGCAAACCGTGTTGCCTACGATGTGTTTTATGTACATGAACTCAATAACCTGGTGAACATTGAGACAGATTATCTCTACTGGGCGTCGCAGCAGGCTGGAGTCGTGAGTAAATGCTTTTATGAATTCTTGTAACTCACCCATTTTGAGATTTAATAATAATAATAATAAAACAATTCTTTTTCCTACCGTTGTCATGCAACTGAATTTCCCGTACGTTGTCTTTTTTTTACAGAAAATTCAGCCGGCGATTGCAGAGGTAAAAACATTTATTACTATGATACCGAATTCTTATTGGAGACAGAGTAACGCAGCTAAGAGTTTTTACAAGAGTAAAGCATAACATGAATGTTTTCTTAAAAATGTGAGAGCCTGTCTCACACTTTCGTTGGTATAGGCTTATCTGTTCCCGAAATGTTTTGTTCCCGAAGTGGTTTGAAACGAGTATTGTGAGACGGAATTGGTACCTGCAAAGTATAAAGTTGAAACCTCTGCAGCACCAAGGAAAATCTGTAGCTAGACCCCCCCCCCCCCCGCAAACACACAAGCGCACACACTTCTCTTTAAGACTGAAAAGCAGATGTCCAACAGTTAGGGCATACTGACTGAATCGTTTCCTATCATGAAGGAAATGGAGATGAAGGTAAGACAGTTGTTAGAAAACATTGCTGCTAACGCATGGTCTGGCCTGATTGCGTATCTAAAATGCTGCTGCACTGACGTCCATTTCAGTGCAAACGTTTCTCAGTAGTTGAGCAGATTTAAGTGCCACATGCAGCAAAGTGGGAAGCGAACCCTTTCAGTTAAGAGGAACGAGGAAGGTGTTTAAAATCATGATCGCGCTTGCCAAACTGGAGACATGGAGAGGTTCAGGGAAACGGAAGATGCAATGGACGTTCTTTCAGGAGCAGAACTAAAAACACCAAGTATTGAAAGTAAAGATAATGTGGCCGGGCAACAGCTAGAAAATCATTAATCTCTTCCTCCCCCCCCCCCCACCCCACCCACCCACCCCCCAAAGAAAGCCACAAGCAAAGCCCAGCACGGGGTTGATATTAATAAAAGTGTGAGTCAACGCTTGCTTGTTTTAAATGGACTTATTGCTCTTAGGTCTATGTTTTATTGCAGTGTTGCTGGAATAACGTCAGGGGCTCCACAAATTCCCTCACAAATCCCTAAAGGTTTTCGTGAGCGAGAAGAGTGTTTTGCCATCGCATAAGGTCTCCAGCCCCATCTAAGATGTGCCGTTTGCGGTGTGTTTTTCCTCAGATTCCCGTTGCATTTTGCACTTACCCCTTTGTTTTGAATGCTCGGGCAAAAACCAAAATGTTGCAAACTGACGCCGCCTTACAGATGCAGGTAAGACTGCTTTACTCTCACCAACCACAGCGCTTTGGGTGTCGTCCTGTTATTATTATATTATCAACGACATAACTGAACGTAAGTAACCCTGTGGCATAGGAGCAGATGTCGTCATTTGCGTCTCGGTTGGAGTTTTATTCAGGAGCGTGTGTTGGCATTCAGGACCTTCCGTGTGATTGCGTGCCTTGTTCTAGAACTACACAGGAGGTGGTGCGTGTCTTGCACTGAGCATCATCTCCACTGTAAACGCTACGAAACAAAGCAACCTCTGAGCATTTGAATCTGATGTGCTATTTTCTCAGCCCGTCGGAAAAGTGTTTCGATTTCCTCTACATTTCTTAGGTTAGCTTCAGAGCGTTTTTGAAGCCGGTTTTGTGTAAGTTCTTTTAAGAATGTAAATGTTTCATCCACATATATACAGTCAATTCACTTTACAGTATATTACATTACATATTACAGTATATTCTCTTTGACCGTGCCTTCAGCTCTCCTCTCGACTCTCTACCCACTCCTCGCTCCCTCCCCTTACCCTGACCATTTCCCCCCTTGATCGGGTCCTGACCCAACTGTCCAGCGTCTTGTGACGTCCTCTCGACGTGAAAGGCACTCTATAAATGAAATCTTGTTGTTGTTGTTGAAGCGCTTTGAGACGTCTCGAAGACGTGAAAAGCGCTATATCAAATGCAAGGATTATTATTATTATTATTAAGGCTTTATGGCTGTTTGTGGGACGCTGCTACGCTCAATTGGCTGCCTCGGTTCGCCCACTTTTTTCAATATGTTCTGCGAAGTGCTTTGAGACTTTTCTACGGCACGATCAAGTGTAAAGATAATTATTATTATTATTATTTAAGGCTGAATTCCAAAATTTACCTGCCCTTGTCTTGCAGATAGCGGTGAACCGGACTGGAGTGGAGAACATCTTCATGCTGCTCACACTGGGACCGTTCTTGACCAGCAGCCCCTTCCTGGTCCTGCATGTGCAGCGGGACAACCTGGTCAGTGATGCATTGAGAGAGCTCAGCATCCACTCGGACGTGGACCTGAAAAAGCCGCTGAAGGTAAGAGGTTTACCTTGGTTTAGATTATTCAACAATCACGTTCTGATCCAACTTCAGGACCGCATTGTCCTCACTCGGCCTGGGGTAGGTAACCATGAGCCACGGGAGCCAGCTAACTTGTGTTGGTTGTCGTGTGTTTGCAGGTGGTGTTTCTGGGAGAGGAAGCTGTGGATGACGGCGGGGTGACGAAGGAGTTCTTCCTGTTGCTGCTGAAGGAGCTGCTGGACCCCAAGTACGGGATGTTCACGCAATACGAGCAATCCAGGCTCATATGGTTTTCGGAAAAAGTGAGTCGGTCGCCTTTTGCTTGCGCTTGAACTTGGCAAATCTCTCGTTTCTGTTTTCTGCGTGTTCGCCCACAAAACACAAGTCACTCCGCTTCTTCAGAGTATATCCTGTGAAGCGCTCTGGGTGTCGTCCTGTTATTATTACGTTATCATTGAAAGGATTATGATTATAAGGCTTTTTGCTCCAGATATTTTAAAATGAGTGGAAAATCAGAGGGCTTCAGAGGTTAATGTACGGCACTCCTTAAAGGAGGGTATGATGAAGAATCGCGTAATCCCTTGTGTCAGTTTATTCTAGAGCAACTCGAGGACGATGACTGACACTGATATATATTCTCAGTTTAAGGATCGTGAATTCCCAGATTAATGCAATGTTTAGAGTGTGTCTGTGCAGCCATGTGCTTCTGCAATTTCTGTTCTTATATATATTTTTGAAAATGCATAAAAGTTAGTTGATGCTTGAGCACCCAGTTAAAAAAAAGTGAGCACAGGAAAAGTTATTTGGTCCATCGAATCCGTACCACTACTACCCCTATTGTTTTTAAAAACAAACTTTTTATTAATCTCCCTTTTCCAACTTTTCCATATTCCCTCATGTTTGTATCTCCAGGTAACAGATTTGCCTATTAATATTTGAAAAAAAAAACTTGCTTTTCAATCGTGTACTATGTTCAAGTGCATATCAAATGTGTTTGGGTTGTGTATCAGAAAGTAAAATAATTGACGTAAATGTACTTTGTATTATTTCCTCCTTCGCTGTTTCCTGATCTCTTTCTTTCCCCTCATTGCTATCCGCAGACCTTTGTGGAGCAAAACTGGTTCCACCTGATAGGTATCCTGTGTGGTTTGGCCATTTATAACTTCACCGTGGTGGACTTGCACTTTCCGCTCGTACTGTACAAAAAGTTGCTCAACGTCAAGCCGTCTCTGGACGACCTGAAGGAACTCTCTCCCACCGAGGGCAGGTGAGCGTCTATACCTGGTCGTTCAGACTGTTTTTAGTCAGTCTGCCAAACAAATAGTATTTAGGCAATGCGGAAAAAACGTTGGCTAAAGGACAAGAACTGGAGAGTAGAGAAAATGGATGTTTTTCACATTGGACCAATCTTAAGAGTCGTCAGTGATAAGACTGTTACTTATATAAAAATATAAATCTAGGTACAACTTCAAAATTTACAGGTGATAACAATTAGAGGTGCGTGTGAGAGAGAGAGAGAGAGAGAGAGAGAATGTGTGTGTATGTGTGAGAGTGTTGAGTGTGTGTGTATGAGACAGTGTGAGTGTGAGAGAGAGAGAGAAAATGTGTCCAGAACCTATCTAAGAGCTGCCAGAGCAAGCACAGAACTGGGGACAAAGTGTCATTGCTGATGGTTGTCGTTTCTCTCCTCCATTCCCTCCGTAGTTGGAGTGGTGGAGGGGCTCTGCTCTGAGGCAGCAAGGCCACAAATAGAGGGTGATTGTTTGACTGGGCTGGAGAGATGGCCATTCAGTGAAGCCCGTGGTCTGTGGCTCACTCTGGAGGTGCTCGGATGCTCTGATTGCAGCCCTTTATTTTTGCAGGAGTCTGCAGCAGTTACTTGATCACCCTGACAATGACGTGGAAGATGCATTCTGTCTAACCTTTGCGGTAAGAAGAGGTTTCCAACCCTCCCCTTCATCACCACTGGCTCCCAGCGCCCCAACGGATCGATTTGAAGATCCTCATTCCTACCTCCCAATGCCTCGTGGCCTTGCACAAGCCAGCTTTGCCATCTCCTTCCTTTGCCCACTCCCTCTGCTTTGCCAACTCGGGATAGCTTCAAGTCTTTTTCCCCCCCCCCACCTCTACAATAGTCCTTACATTTGATGTAGCACCTTCCGCCCACAAAATATAGTCAATCCGCTTTATAATATATTCTGTGAAGCGGTTTGAGACGTCTCAACGACGTGATAAGGCGCGATATCAAATGCAAGGATTAGTATTACTCTTTCGCGTTCCAAAGCGCTTCACAGTGACTGTGTGTTGTGGCAGCAGTGCCCCGCAAATAGCCACGAAGTGAACGATCAATTTTATCAGGGTGGGGTTGTTGGTCAGGACACTGGGAGAAGCTCTTTTTGAATGGTGTCATGGGATCTTTAACGCCGACCTTGGAACAGTGGGCGAGGAGAGCTCTCGGACAGTTGTTTCCGATCCCTGGAAATTCTCCCTGAACGCTTTCCGCTTCGCTCCCCCACCCTGGTGCGTTCAAGAAAAAATGCAGGAATGCTGCATGACCATCATACACACTGTGACAAAGGGAACTCGACGTGACAAGGCACCAGCTTCCTGCTGCAGGAACTGTGCCGCTATCCTGGGTACTCGCCTGAAGTACGGAATGTACTTGAAACGAGAAACTATTTGCGTTCTTTGGTTAGATTTTTTGTTTTCTTCTGGAACGCCGTTCAAGTTGGTTCAAAACGCCACAGGGCTGGACCCAGAACCTGGACGTTTCAAGGTCTCGTTTTATTTTATGTTGGAACCATTTAAAAAAAAAAAAAAAAAAAACTTTTTGACTTTTTAAAATCGTTGTGCTTTTTTTTTTTGACAGATCTTTAGGGAAAATTACGGAATCATTGAATTACAGGAATTGGTGCCCGGAGGTAATAAGGTAGCTGTGAAGAAAGAGAATCGGTGAGTCTTTCCTTCAGTGGGATATGGTAGAATGGAACTTACCCTCTTATGTGTTGCCATTTCCCCCCCCCCCGGTGTTTGTATTATTTTTGTCTACCCCATTAATTACCTCAGGTAATTAGAGTTAGGTCTGAAGATCAGCCATGATCTTATCGAATGGCGGGGAAGGCTCGAGGGGCCGAATGGCCTTCTCCTGCTCCTGATTCTTATGTTCTTCTTATGTCGGCGTTTAATACTTTGGTTTGTTTTTTTCTCTCCCACATTTCGGTCCGATTTAATTTGATGCGTGTCAACATTAGATCTCACTGTTGGCAGCCGGCTTGGTGATTTGAGGATTGGAGCGAGGAGTCAGCTCTCTTCCCACCTCATTTCCCCGCAATTTTCCCTGTGCCCCCGGTTGAATAATTTCCCGTAATAATCCCCCAGTTTTACTTGGTGGATTTGCTGGCCAGGACACCAGGAGAATCTCCCCTCTCTTTTCGAATTGTGCCAAGGAATCGTTTAACACCCACCTGAACAGGCAGATGGGACCTCGGTCGAACGTCTCATTTCCAAACGTTCGGCACCTCTGAAAATAAATGCATAGCTCCCCGGCACCGCATAAGACGATATGAGGTCCGAGTCTCAATGTGGGAGATGAACCCACAGCCTTCTAACTTGGAGATTACCAACGGAACCAGTGTGGCACAAATACCTTAGGGAGGGCGGGGAGGCAATTGATGGAAAATGGGAAAAGCCTACAATTAACCCTTGAGCATTTTAGAAGCTCCAGAAAATGTTCCCCCGGTTCATTCACTGCAAGTAATCACGTTTCTTTACAACTAACACTGAGCCTCTAACGTCCTTGCAGGAAGGAGTACGTGGAAGCTTACGTGGACTTTATCTTCAATAACTCCATCCGTGAGCTCTTCTTAGCTTTCTCCAGCGGGTTCCTGAAGGTCAGCGGAGGGAAGGTTCTGCACCTGTTCCAGCCCAGCGAGCTGATGGCTATGGTGGTGGGGAACACTAACTTCAACTGGAAAGAGCTGGAAATGGTAGGAGGCCCTTTGGAGGGTGCGGGTGGGTGCCTTTCCTTACCCCTAGTTCTGCAGTGAAGTGTGATCAGCACTCGCAGAGAGTCAACGGGGAGGCCGATTTTCAACTTGCTGACAAGCGAAGTTGCTGTGATTATTTCAAATCGTCTTCTCAACAACAGCAAAAATTACATTTATAGAGCGCCTTTCACATCGGGAGGACGTCCCAAGGAGGTTTTCTCGAGTGAAAACCTCCCTGAGCTCTCCCTGTTCTGCTTGCACCACACCTCTTTTGGCCTCCTCTCTGCCCAGTTTAAAATTCAGTGCACACCGAGGGACAGAGAGAATGATTAAATCCCGGCCTATTGTATGACCGTGCTCAGCAACCTAACCACTGCAACAGTTCAGCTTCACCCAGCAGTTGGTTGTACTATTGTTATTTTGCCTTCTCTGCTTTGAACACTAGCATTTCTAGGTAGCTTACAGTGTGAGCTGTCTCCCAGTGGATCAATTTCGAGTTCCCTTCATGCCCGATCACCACTCTGACCTCCTACCACACTTCCCTGCTTTCCGCTCGGCTAACTCGGGCACACACACCCCGCTCTACCTGTGCCATCATCAGTGGTTGAGTTTTCGGATTCTACGCTCCTAACGTCTAGAGCACCTTCAACCCCTTTCTCGCTCCCCCTCGCTACCTATCGGCAAGTCCTGCCTTAAAACCTGCCTGGTCTCCTGCATCTCTGATCATCTCCCCTCCCCTTTGCTTGACAACTCGCCCCATCGGTGTTAAGTTCTCCAAGATGTTCTCCTGATGGAGGCTGCTACATAAAATTCTAGTTGTTGCATTTGTTGTTGCGCCTTGGGACGTCCTCCCGACGTGAAAGGCTCTTTACAAATGTAATTTTGTCGCTGTGTTGTTGTTGTTTATTGTTGTTTCATTTCCCTGGCCTATTTCGGGCCAATGCATCCATCCACAAATTGTACCCCAGCATTGGCGGGCAAGGGTTCAATCAGAACAAACACCTGGAGCCCCTCTAATTTGCCCCTCCTTCCGAGTTTTAAAAATCTGCCTTAAGACTTTGCCTCTTCACGTGATTATAGCCATTGTTTCCCTGTTCCACCCCGCTCGCCCCCATCACCCCCACCCACCAACCCCCTCATTGTTCCCCCTGCACCCCACCCCCCCACCCCAACTCTCTTGCCCAGCAAGTTATATCCATAGGTTGTCTTTGGCACTAAAAGTGTAACTTGTACAGTTCTCTTGATCCAACTTTCTTTTTATTCCATTGTGTGTTTTTACCCAGTCTGCGATATACAAAGGGGAGTACCATGCTGCACATCCCACCATCAAGTTATTCTGGGAAGTTCTCCATCAGCTTCCCTTGGAAAAAAAGAAGCTGTTCCTTTGTAAGTACCGGTACTTGGCGCAAAACGTGGTGGTGTTAAAACCCTCGCAAGAAACCTTTAAACCTTTTAAGTCTTTCAGAACATTAAGGCACAGGCCTTTCTCTGGATACGAGGGTATTGCCTCTGACGATATAAACGTGTGCTGTTAGGCATTTAATGTTTGTGGGGAAATCTCTTCTGTAAATGCTTTATATTAAAGTCTAGAGTTTGTAGGCATCTGATCCTGAACTTGTTGACAGGGTGCTTATGAATACTGTTTTTGTGCGGCGTTCCTCAGGGCTCTGTCCTTGGTCCCCTCCTCTTTAATATTTACATGTTCCCGCTCGATGATGTCTACCGCAGACATGGGGTTAACATCCACATGTATGCGGATGACACCCAACTCTATCTCTCTGTCTCCACCCTCGACTCTGGGACCACTGCTGTCCTGGTAGATTGGCTGTCACCGACATCAAGTGCTGGATGAGAGCTAACTTTCTCCAGTTGAACGATGACAAGACAGAGGCTTTCCTGCTTGGCTCCTGTCAAGGCCTCCACACCTGAGGCGCTGACAGCACCACTATTCACGCATGCACACTCCACCTCTCAGAGCCAGTAAGGAACCTTGGTGTACTGTTCAACCCTCAATTGTTCTTTAAACCCCATGTCCTCAAAATTCCTCCCATCCTCGCTCGGCTCCACTGGCTCCCCATTCCCCCGGAGGATCGAGTTTAAAATCCTGGTCCTCACTTTTAAAGCCCTCCACGGCCTTGCTCCTCCCTATCTCTGCGACCTATTAACACCATACCAACCTGTCTGCTCCCTCCGCTCGGCAAGCGCTGGCCTGCTCCATGTCCCCCGCCCAGCTTGCTCCACCATCGGCAGTCGGACCTTCAGCTTTTCTGCTCCCACCCTCTGGAACTCCATCCCAGAATCCCTCCACATCGCCCCTCCCTTGCCAGCTTCAAGGTCTGTCTCAAGACCTTCCTCTTTGACCATGCCTTCAGCCACTCTCCCAAACCCCATCTCCCTCGCCCTTCACCCTTCTTGATTCTAACCCCGAGCACGGGTGCAAAGCTGTGACTGTCCAGTGTCTTGAGACGTCATTCTGACATGAAAGGCACTATATAAATATAATATGTTGTTGTTTCTTAGATTGATGCAGTGACCATAGGTTTGAAGGGTAATGGCTTGGTTTGATTGGGTTAGCTGCCTGTTTTTAAGTTTCCTTTGCTCATTTTTATGTTTAATTAGGATTTCAATCTGTCTCACTATTATTCTATAAATAACAGCTCAGAACAGTTTCCTAAAGTTGATCGCACTGTGTTTTTTTTTGCTGGGATATAGTTCCACAGGTAACTACTGTTCTTTGATACCTCACTCTTGGGCCATTCTTCATGTGTGAACCCGGTCAATAAGATTGAAAGGCCAAGCCCAAATCCCTGCCTGCTATCTGTGCATTTCCCAGCTGCAGTTCCTGGATAGAGAGGTCAGGAATGAGAACACCATTAATATCTGTGAGGAGGTAGGGTATGGACTTTCACTGAAACTCTTTTAACCTATTCCTCCCCCCCACCACCCACACACACATTTACTACAATATAGTGTCTTTGATATCGAGAGGACGTCCCAAGGCGCTTGTATGCTACCGGATACAAATTGAACCTGGGACTTTCCTGATCTGCGTGACTTGTTTATCTTTCTAGGAAGTTTGTAATACTTTTCTCACCTCCTAATGAAGTTGAAGTGCCTTTTGGTTCATTTTCCTGTTCCTGGTATTGATTGCACCTTCGTTGCTGCTTGTGTTCAGAGAGGGAACCACAGTGCTTCCGCAGACATTTCCTGCGTGGGTCTGACAGATCGGAATAACAGTATCTGTTAAACTCTCCGGGACTTTGGTAGAAACAGAACACTATCTTAGGAACCAATCTTATAGATTGAGAGCTGGGCAAACAGACAGGAAAGTGGGACAAGTGTACCAAACTCCAGGCTCTCACATTCTGAGAGGAGATGCCAGAGGAATTCACAACCCACACCGCAGGAACATATTAAAAATCAATTCTAGATGTAGCTCCATTCCAGTCAGCAATGAGAATAGCCAATTCAACCTTTTAGCCTACTCTGCCAATTCATTCGTTCATGCTGGCTCTTTCTAATCTCTCTGAGCCTCACCATGTCCCTTAGTAAATTTACTTCCCATGTATTTATCTCCCTCTCTAAAAGTTCTCAATAAATTCTGCATCTATTGCCTTCTGGGCTCGTGCGCGCCACATTCAAACAGCCCTCTGTGCGCGAAGAGCAAAATGAAAATCTGTGGTTTGTCTGTCTATTTAAAGTGTATTGTTAGACTTATTACTGTGGGGTGAGTCGAAAGATTTTCCATGTTACAGCCCCGAATGCCATTTGAGCAACATCAGGAGCCGTACACTTCAGGGAGATGACTGTGAATGTACGCGAGGCGCAAAAAGCTGTATAAGGCAGCATAAATCACTAGGGTTAGACTAACACCCAAGCCTATGATCTCAAAGACCCAACATAGGGCTTGAACCCACAACCTTCTGACTCAGAGCGGAAAGTGCTACCAAATGAGCCAGGCTGACCTCTGTGTAACGTTGGTCACTAATAATCATCCTTGCATATGACATAGCGCCTTATCACATCATCAAAACATCTCAGGGTGAGTTGAGGGTGAGTTAAGTACAGGGAGGGAGCGGTGGCTATTCTTACCCTAATTATTGTCTTTACCAAAAATGCCTTAAGTCATTACTGTAATCGGTCCATACTCCACTGCTCGTTCTGGGTGTCACTGGGAGCAGAGTTGTACTCTTTTAGAAAATTAGATAATGAAACTGGCGCCCTGACTGAAATCGGCTGTTTTCTAACTCGTTATAAATTTGCGTTCTCTCCGCAGTGTTTTTGACCGGGAGTGACCGTATTCCGATCTACGGGATGGCAAGTATACGGATGATGATCCAGCCCACCTCGGGAGGAGAGCAGTACCTGCCGGTGGCTCACACGTGTTATAACCTGCTGGATCTCCCCAAGTACCAGAATAAAGAAACATTAAGGACAAAGCTCATTCAGGCCATAGACCATCACGAAGGGTTCAGCTTAGTATGAAATAAACTCCTCTTTTTACACTGTGAAGAGAGAGGTTAATTTGTTAAGCACTTTATTGTTTTTAAAAGAAATTGTTCTGTAACATCCAGTCAATGATTGAAACATTAATCCGACCCCCCCCCCCACCCTTCCCACACACACACACTTTCGTTACTCACCCCCAGATTTTACAACATACAAGGGAGTTGTGCTTCAACATGGCAGTAAATATTAGGACACATATCTAATCACAAGAAGGATTGGTGCGAATAAGTCTGATGGGCCACTTGATCTTACTTTCAATTCACCTCTAGTACCACAACAACTACTTGCATTTATATAGTACCCTTAACGTGGGGTAGTGGTGTCTTTTCAATCCAGTGTCCTGGCCTCAAAGCAACCTTCCTCGTAAATCATTCCAGCTGTTGATTACCCTCTGTGCAAAAAATAGCTTTTGCCCTAAAATCGTCCCTCACAACCCAAACCTGTATCCTCTTAAGGTGCTTTGAGACGCGATAAGGCGCAATATGAAATGCAAGGATTATTATTAGTAGTAGTAGTATTGTTGTTATTAGCTAATATAGTGGGGTTTTTTTTTAGAGCTACCCCTCTTCTGTATGCAGCACTCCAGGTGTGTCCTGAACAGAGTCCTGTGTAACACAAGCACAACATCTGGGGAGTTTAAGCATTTATAATGGAAAGTTTTGGGTAAATTTACTGCCATGCAGAACATCCCTCCTGGCCTCTTGAGATGTTAATATTCTCTCATCTCCCACACACCCCCATCCCCTTTCCTGGATTTTAGAATGTACAGTCTCATTTAACTCCTTGGCATTTTAAAGAGATTATTTCTACAATATATTTTGAATCATTTATCTCTTTAGTTATTTTGAACTATCGGGTATCTTTAGTGCACCTTTGCTGCTGCTTTTGCCCTCTTCAGTAATGTTTCTTTGGGGAGCTCAAGTTTTGTTTGTTCAGTCAACAAAGGTGGCTGAATCTCCATATATTTCCTTTTATGTAACTTCGACAAACACTTTTATTCTGTGTGTGTGTGTGTATGTGTATGTTATATGTACGTGTATATATTCATATATATTAAATATATATTGATATATATGTATGTGTGTGTGTCTGACGCTGTACATAACATGACCAAAGGACATTTCTTAATTTCGCCCAACGATTTTGATGTTTTTAATTTGGTGCGGAGCAGCTTTGGTTCTCAATGGGGTTAACAGTACCGCTATTAACACTCAACCCTGTCAGAGCTGATGCAGTGCTTCATATCAATGGACTAGGAAACACAGCATCTTAAAATCCAATCATACTGCAATGTGATAACTGGTTGACGAATGCCTTAGCCAGGTGGAGGCAGTGGTTTACTACTCTTGTCATATGAAAGTTTGTAGCATGTGAAAAAAGATTGTAAAAATAAGGTAATAATAGCTGCGGGATGTAGTTGCATTGCTGCTGGATGCTTTGTGAAGTGTTTAACCTGCTTTTTTTCACGTTCTCTCAGCAGAAAAAAAGCTCCAGACTTAAATGGGAGGCTTGAAGATAGCATTTGGGCAGTATTGCAATCCTGATTTTTTATTTCATCAGTAGAAAGACCCTTATAACATTATTTTTTCATGTTTTCCACAAATGAAATAAAACTCAGGATTAAAGTTACCTTGCGTAAAGTTTTTATGTTGTATGACTTGTTTTTTTAGACAGCGGGGAGAGGAATAAACTGCTGATAGTCATGTCATGTGGAGAGTTGTACCTGCTGGGTATTTTAGCGTTCTGTAGGCCAGGAGGTTGACTGTCTTTTGTGGGGAAGTGTTTCCGCCGAAACTTTCCCTCCCCATGTTGATTAGATTTTCTTTTAATTCTGGTGGGGGAAAAAAAAACCTGAAGGGTTTAGATTCCGTCTCGCCTGCGATGAATGATTAGGTTTGAAATCCTGTTCGCCAGACGTTGAAACGGTTAATGTCGGCCGGGGCGGGGAGCTCACAGCTGGTCTCAGCATGGCATGTCGGGCACACTGACAGGCTAGTTAGTGAGATTGATGAGTTCCTGGCACCCAGCAAACCACACACAACAGGGGGTTGCTACCCGAGGCCAGAGACTGTCATGATCAGTAACTAAATGACTGGAGATGGAAGATATGCTCACCCACCACCTTTGCTCTGCTTATTGCATCGCGTGAACCCGTCCGTTTGTCAATCTCCTACACAGCAGCTCTGAGCACGACAACCACAACCGCGCACACAAATCCTGGGGTGAAAAATACTTTTATTTCGCGTACCTGACGTGCGAGCCAATTTTTTTTTTCCTCCAAAGGGCAGGTAATTATTATTATGATAATGATAATAATAATAATAATCCTTGCATTTGGCATGGGGCCTTATCATGCTTTCGAGACGTCTCAAAGCGCTTCACAGAATATACTGTAAAGTTTATTGACTGTGTATTTTGTGGGCGAAACGCGGCAACCGATTGCGCACAGCCGCGTCCCCACAAAAGGTCGGGGATTGATTCACTAAATAATTTTTTCTAAAAAACGACTTATTACGCCCAGAAAAGCGATCCGCCAATGGACTAACAACCGGCTTCCAACTTACTGCTGGGTGCAACTCCGCCTTTGACAATCGCTGTGAGGGTCTGTGCACGATCTCAATTCATGGCAATTGCTCATTTTCGGAACCTGCAGGATGGAGACAAATGATCACAAGCCGCGCTCTCCAAAGTGTCGGCCTTTATTTTTGCTGCAAGTTGAACTGGCAGAACACTTCAGCAGCTGACGGCCATCGACAATCCGGGGGTAGGATGTTGATGGACGCTTATGGAGCAGTCAGTCTAACTGACCAAATGCAGACCAAGTAACGAACGTCTTCAAACAGATCATAGAATTACACAGCACAGAAGGAGGCCATTCGGCTCATCGTGTCTGTGCCGGCCTTTGAAAGTGCTGCCTAATCGGTCCCACTGCCCTCGCTCTTTCCCATAGAACTTGCAAATTTTTCCTTTTCAAGTAAATATCCAATTCCCTTTTGAAAGTTATTATTGAATCTGCTTCCACCAGCCTTTCAGACGGTAATAATTATACGATTACAACTCCACTAACCCCCTATTGTGTTGAGGATGATGGTAATTTTATTTTAAAGAAGATGTGTAGATAATTTCAGCCTTGATGGCCAATTATGTTGTGCGGGCAACGGATATTGATGCTTTACTTACAACAAAATATTTCAGAGACCATGCCACGATTCCAAAATTTACTTGGAGCATCAGATAGTGCAGGCACGTGCACGACCACGCACGACCACAATACTTACTATATTTAACGATTACTGATATAATACAAGGCAATGATGAGTTGTTGCTACTTTCTGCCGCTCCGCAGCATGTACGCCAGCCCTTCCCCTCTCGCGTTGCTCGGTTCTCACAAAGACTGGATTGCAATAAAGCAACTCTTGTGTCAAAGGGCACTTGGCAATCTTTCTTGGTGGCACGTTCCTCCACGCTAAGCCCTTTAGAAGATCTCAGGCTTCAAGTGGCAAAGTGCAAATCATTAGAAAGAAAGGCTGACGTGAGACATAATGCAGCTATTTGACACGAGGCTGTGAGCCCAGAAAGAGAAGGTAAAGATTTAATATTAATGAGCTTCAAGCAAGAATAGGATTTAGACAATTGACACGAACACACAGGCACAGACTGGCATTTAAGGACCAAACGTGAAAGAACAGATGGTGCGTTGATTAACTCCGTTCAAGAAGGTCAAGCTGGTCAGAATCTCCTTGGACCCAGTGGATAAAAAGAGATAACGTATGGAGCCCAATGGTTTCTGTGCTCGTGGGGGTGAGAGCGCAGCGCGATGGGGTTTAAAAAGGCATCCAATGGTTTATTTTAATATCCGTGTTGATCTCCTCTCAAGTACACAGTGTGAGACCAAGACATGTCGTCCACAAAATACAGTATATTCTGTGAAGCGCTTTGAGACGTCTCGAAGACGTGTTAAGGCGATATATTTTATATCGCTGTGACACTAACAAAAAAAAGTCATGCAATTAAAAAGAAAAGACCATATTACTGGAAAAGAAAGATGCATTTATTAAGAAATTCACAATAAATTACCAAAAAAGTTACCGTATTATTATTTGTATTAATGAGGCTTTTGAGTTTGTTTTTTGTTCATGATATCTTCAATGTTTGGATGCAGTTTTGAGCACGCCATATGGTGATCATCTGTTAGTTTGGAACGGTATTTATTTTTTTCTGAAGTTCATGGTGGATAAGGACTGCTCACAGGTGTGGGTTGAATCTGATTCTGCACAAATATCGTAGAGTGGAAAATCACTCTTAGAGACGAATTTCCAAAACGACTTCAAGTCCTGTATTACTGGAGAAGCGCACAGTTCTTCGAATTTGCTATGTAGGCCTGAATAATAATAATAATCCTTGCATTTGATGTAGCGCCTTATCACGTCTTTGAGACGTCTCAAAGCGCTTCACAGAATATACTGTAAAGTGAATTGACTGTATATTTTTTCTTGTGGGCAAAACATAGCAGTCGATTGCGCACAGCAATTGTGTATTGAGTGACCAATTTATTATTTTTTTTAATGAATAGTTACTCCCTGGAAAAGCGATCCGTCAATTGTCTAACAACCGGGTTCCTACTTGCTGTTAGGTAGAGCAAGGAAACCTGCCCAACGTTTCTCCCTACCGGGAATCGAACCCAGGTCCTCTCGCCTGCGAGGCGAGTGCTCTAACCGCTGACCTACAGGACTCCACTTTCGAAATTTATTGTAGAGAAATGCAGAGTGCTGCACATGGGCCCAAAATATCCAGGAAGGGAGTATTATTTAAATGGAAAGAAAATAATCTGTACAAAAAAATGAAAAGGACCTGGCGATCTTGATAGGCTATCGCTTGATGATCGCTTGATCGCTTGATGAACCGTCTGCTCACCGCAATACAAAAAGGATATTGCAGGGATTCAGAGGATACAGAGGAGGACAACCAACGTGATTGAGGGGATGGGAGGGACTGGACTAGGAGGAGCGATTAGGTAAACTGGGCGTGTTCACCCGGGGGAAGAGAAGGTTGAGGGGCGGTATGATTACGGTCTTTAAGATTCTGAAGGGCATAGACAACGTAGACCATGTTGAGCTGTTGGGTTTTGTACTGAACAGTGGAACCAGAAGACAAGGCCTGCGATTGAAGGTGGGGGGTAAATTCAGAAACTCTCTCAACCTGATGCCCTCTTCATATTTTCTTTTTGACGTACGGAGCGTATTACTAAGCGAATGTTTGTGGCAAAAATCACAGACCTGCCAGATCCAACAATTAAACTTCAATACGTTCGACTCAAAGGCCGCAGCTCACAGACTGGCCTTGACCTTGTTGGGGTGAGGGATGGGGGTGGGGGAAGGTGGCAATAATTGTTGTTGTTCGTGGAGTTATTTTTAAATTGTGTTGTGAGCCATTATCAGTTTGCGTTGGCCGTCACTGTTACAGAGACAGTTGTGGGGGAATCTAGGAACAGACTGTCTATCCAT